GTTCTCTGTTGTTTCTGAATTAGTCTCAAAAGAACATTTTTTCTTTTTTGACCTTTTGCTTCTCATCTCTCTTAAAATGAAGATTTATAGCAGCTGTTTTGCACTGAGTTCAAACATCCAAACTCTTTTCAATGCCTGCCCCCTTTTTATAAGTATTTTTTTCGATTTTCACTTCTTTTCTGAATTTTCAGTAGTTTTCAAGAACTCGTAGTTTTCGAATTTTAAAGGCTCTTGCGTTTCACATAAGTAGAAATGCATGAAACATAATACTGAAAAATCTGTCAGCATTTTTCTAAAAAATCCTAAAAAGGGAACGACCACAAATTGCTTTTTGTTTACCGCACAATAAATTTTCTTCATATTGCAAAATTTATCGGATGCTTTTGTTGGTTATCCTCTTTTTGAGATTTTCAACAAATGAAAGTAAAAAACTGTTTTTTTTGTGTTATGTTTTTGTGGCACGATACTGTTTTTCGCAGAAATAGTTGATTTGTTCGTATAACTAGTGAACCAGAGTTAAAGGTGCTAAGCTGCATCCGCGCGCTTCAGGATCGCCAAGCGGTTTCCCGCTATTTGCAGATTTTTGAATTCAGTTAACGATTCTTTATATATTGGATATTTCAAAAGGAGTTCAAATGTGGATCTATTTTTTTCAAAGACTCACACATGCTCAAAATTTTCATTCGTCGATATGTTTGCCCAAATCGCAGTACGATGCATATCAGCTTCAAATAGCTTTTTTTCCTACTTTTGTGTTCTGCTATTGTCCTAAATTGACCTACTACCGTAAACCTACCATGACTCAACAAATCTCGCCAATAGATGGAAAAATTTTTTTCATAATGGTCAAAAATATTTGCCTTTATTTGATTCTTGAGTTAGTATGTTCACTAATACTCAGAATAGCAATATTCTCCTCTCGAAACAACAATTTCAAATTGTCATAAAGAAAGTCAGCTGTGTTTGCGTTCTGACTATTACCCTTTTTGTCTCCCTCTTACTGCAATGATTCACACAGAATTATGCGAAATTATAAGGTCTAACATAGGGTTTGAGAGCTCATGTGACATGAGTAATCATTTTTCTAGTCATAGCATAAGGAGGATTATCTACTCATGTCACTTGTTTCAAGCTTTTTTCCTTTTTCTGATAACAACTGATGAAAAGTACCACAGAATTGCATTTCGAACACTGAGTTGGTTTGCTTTTATCCCAATCAAAAATTTCTAATGTTTTGAGTGCATTTTGATATGTAGTTTTTTTTAATATACGTTAACAAGTAATTTTACTTCATAACTTTTGGTCAAACATAGTATGCATGTTGGAAACAATCACTTTTTTTGTTCATATAATAATGTCTACTAAGCTTCTACTTCTGCCATGGTAATCAACAATTATCTGAATAAATCTAGAGTTTTTGTTTCAATTTTTTAATTTTTTACTATTTTTTCTCTCACTCTGTTAAAAGAGCAAATTTCTAAGCCTAACTCTAAAAACTACATAAAAAAGCTTATGATTGCAGACTTTTTAATCAGACCCGATCACCATTTTTATGTAATGCATGAGATTCAAAAATAATAAATAGCAAAGTCTGATTAGTTTTAAGCTTTTCGGAGTTCTAGAAGGGACGTATGACACAAAAGCGTTTCATTCTGAGATGAATGAAAAATTAATGTTATCTAAATTCAAAAGTTTCTGGTAAACAATTCTTTTTATGAAAAATGGAACAGAAATTCTACTTTTACTTGGAATAGCTTATGCTACTGTCACTGGTTAACATAAAGTCAGTTCGAAAGAATTTATGTAGATTTATGTAGACTATGTAGATTTAATCAATAATCATAGTCAATAATCTTGCATTCGCAAATACTCTTTTTTTGGAACATCGAATGTATTTTTTGATCTTGATCATTTTAGCATTATTTCCGATATTTTGTGAGATAGTCTTTTTCTCACAGCGTTGACAATTTTATCTTTCTTGATTTTGAATTTCAAAGAGAGCGAACTTGACATAGTTTTATTCAAACTATTTGAAGGCAGCGTCCAGGCAGATCTGGAACATATGGGGCTTTTACGTGGAAAGTACTATTGGGACCCCAACTAAGGCACTGCCCAAGCGGCAGCTCAGGTAGTGCTCTAATGGCTAAGATATTCCGCCCGAAACTAGCCCCCGCGAACGTATTCGCATGGATTCATGGCAGTTTCGCGCCAGGATCCACGCTTTGCGCCATGAATCCATGCGAAACACGGTCGCGGGGTCCAGTTTCGAGGGGAATATTTCATCCATTACAGCACTACATGAGCTGCCGCTTGGGCAGTGCCTTAGTTAGGGCACCAAAAGTACTTTCCACGTAAAAGCCCCATAGGTCCAGATCTGCCTGGACGCTGCCTTTAAACGTATTCTATACTGTTAGAATTTTATTGATCGATTTGTAAGACGATCAATATTGTCTTATATCCACAGCAGAATATGTGACATGATTTTTGCTTTTGCGTGAGAAGCTTTTCCCTCAGGGGTGTCATGTTGACGAAAGCAATAATACGATGATTGATGTCTTTGCATTGACAGCTTGCTTATTTTGCAAACCTCATTTTCTACGAAGTGCGATTTTTTCGTATTTTTTTGCATTTTACCCCCCCCCCCCCCGCCCTCCCCCTCGCCCGGCCCCTTTATTCCGTCCCCTAGTTAGTTGCACTATTGGTATGGACGTGACGTATACAACGTCGTTTTCTCAAAAGAAGTCAAATTTAGTCGCATGGAAACGCAGCTAACGACAAATTGAGCCCATTTTTCACAAATGCCGTACTCTGCTTGATTGCCGCAGCAAATTGCTCTATCGGGAAATATTTCGAGTCGTCTCAATTTTCGGCAATTTTCTGGAAAATTTTATATGTCTCGCGCTTTTCAATGCTAGGCTAGTGGGCATAAGCACGAATAGAAACAGAATTCCAAAACGAATTTATTTTTGGCAGAACATAACCTAAATGGAAAATGCTAAAAGTTCGTATCTTGAATGCTATTGATTTTATTGATTGATTGGGCTACCGCGCAAAAAAACACCGTTTTACAATCATTATAGTAAATTTTCATGTCAAAACATGCTGTGCCAAAACTGCATATCTTCAGAAGATATTGATTTTCTTGACTGACCAATTTTCCAAGAAATTACTGTTTTATACTTATTATAATAGATGCAGAGCTCAAACATTCTCACAGATAGTTTAACAAGCAAAAAAAAAGAGAAAAAAAGCGGAAGAAGAAAGTAGCAGCACAGTTGCTTAGAGTATTTAAACCAGAAAAATTCCACAAATTTTACAAGAAAATTCAATAATCACAATCTGTTTCCTATGCATTGATCGAGTCCATCGCTCAGGAATACTCTTCTCTTGTATAGGCAAAAAAAAAGAGAGGGAGGGAGAGTTTATCAAAGCACCATAGCTTCTATGCAAGCATATTGTACGCGGACCAATTATCAACCCAATATTTCAACCCCGCTCTCGCCCCGCCCCTTTTTCCCATAGAATTATAACTTTTTCCATACAATTAGCTTTCAAAATATTTTGATTGCATGATCGATTGATTATTGATCATTTATTGATTGATTGTATTTTATTGTATTAAATGTATGACCTTTTCTCACTTTACCTAACTTTTTTCTATTTGATCTGTTGCTTGACTTTTTAGAATTTTTTTCTGGAAACAATGGGCTCTACTGCTGATTTTTTTCTGATGAACTCATTTTAAAGTGCCAAACTGCTCATGAGTGAACCTCTAAAAGTAACCAAAAGTATTATCTTCAAGTTAGTTTTTGAATTTGCCAATTTCGATCACTTTTGTCGCAGAGCAGGCAATTTGCATTTGCAGCTTTTTAGCTAGTATACTACATGCAAAAGCTAATGTTATGCATTTACTTATGAAAACTGCAGCAGTTGTCCAGTGATTTGTGACAGCCCTGAAAAATGTTAAAACTCATTAGATGTTTGTCTGTGAAAAGTGGCAGTTATTGGAAAGTGTAAGAACATATGGGTGAATGGCAGATTTCCAAGAAAGATTAGACAAGAAAAGTGAAAGCCATGGCAAAATTTACGATAGGAATATGGTAGGAGCGGTGAGAATTTTTGGGAAAGTGATAGCTTTTGGAAAGCATGCACAGACGAAGGTTATCGAAAAATTTTCAAGAAAAATTAGTATGGAAAAATCGCAAAGAAAACACGTAGGCATACGGTAAAAGCTTGCGGGTTTCTATTCCTTCGCTCCATTTATTCTTTTCGTCTTATATTTTCTACTATCGAAATTTCATTCGCTATAATTATCTGCACAATTTTGCATCTAATTCGTTCATTGACTATAGATTTCAAAAAGACTTTTCATGTAATTCGCTTGAATTTTTCTTCTGAAAAAAAAATCACGGGATACGGTCATATATTAGACTGTGAAAACTTTTATTTGTTATTTTTTATCATATTTGTATTCGTAATCTGTAATTTTTTGCATTTTATAATTTAATAGATTTCTATTTTCAACATTTATATTTTTCTAGTTGTCAATCTTTAATTTGCTGGTGGCAATTTTTTCAATTTATTTTGCAACAATTCACAATTGCTCGTGCGTCTCGTTGCAGATTTTTGATCCTTTTGAGATTTTTCGGGATCCTTCAAATTCTGCAACCAAGAACCCGTGGGCGTAGCGATCCGTCAACAATCTTACCCTACTTGTTGACAAATAATAGTAAACAAGCTCGATGACGTCTTTTCTTCCCTTATAGTCTCATTCTGATTGAAGCATTCATGCTGAGGATGTTCGAGCTAATCGTTACATAGTAAAAATAAACAAAAACCTCTGCATGGGTATATATACCAGCTGCGAAACACATTTGCGCCGAACATTTTTCGACGTTGTTAATGATCACCAGTATCAGTTGTCCGGTTCTGTCCTCCGCAGCTTGTGCGTCCTGCATTGGATTGTTCGTCTCTTTCTGTGATAAATTTTCCCGTTTCAGACTCGTAGTTCGATGTCTTCAACGGCTGGCGCCAATGAGCGCCAGATCATCATCGAAGATGTTCCAGAGGGTGCAAAATGCAAAGTTGTCGATTGTCGATGTATTGGATGGTACGAACATCCGTGGAGGTACGAAGACTGCTCTCAAAATTTTTTAGATAGTGGAAAAAGGGCTGCTGATGTCGATTTATATCATAAAAAATACCACGTGTGACGTACGAAAAAGGCGGAACTTCTACTTCTCGACGAAAAATCCGTCTTTTACCGTTACATCGCTGTAATCCCCTCGAAATTAGTTTTTTTTTCAAAATTTCGTAGAAGAATCCTATCACCCTGACAAGCCAGACCTTTGCATTCGATTCAGTATCGTACTTCATCGTATTACGGTAGGTATACGGTATCAAACTGACGGCCATTTCGCAACAGATGAGTGCAGCTGAATTTGATCTTATCGCCTACTCGACAACTCCTGTGGTACTTTAGAAGTTTTGCCTCGTCACGGTAAATAGGAGTTTTTTTTTTAATTTGGAAAATTGTCTAGAGAAATACAACGATGAGACGTTGATCGTCTTGTTCACAGAAGACAGGAATAATAATGTAGCACTGGAATAATTTTTATGTGGGGGAGCAGGATCCTGAACAATCTTCAGGAAGAAAAATACTACTACATACTTGGAACTTCACATTACTAAGAAAGGATGAAAGGGTGTCACAAAATCTATCAGAGTCCAATAAATCTGCTCACGAATATTGGTCCTCACTATATTCAACGATCACCTTTTCTTCTCTCGCAGAAGAACACCGTTCGAAAAATGTTGATGATCTTACAACTAGATGTTTAAATAAGGGGTTCTATCCTCCCTGAACTATTCGAAAGAAGCCTACAGTGCAGAGCAATGGTAATGAAGCGATTTATTTGCTTTTCCTGCCATGATAATATTCATTGTTATAAGCCCGTCGTCATACTCATGGCTCAGTACTACCTATATATATTGTAGTATTAAAAAGTAATCGCATACTTGGAAGGCTAATAAGTGCTTCAATACCGTAATCGTTTTTTCAACAAACAATTCTAATCCGAAATATTATGTACCTCTTTATGGCGGTATTTACGCAAAATCGGGTGCTTAAGCTTTTTATGCGGAAACTGTTTGGAAGGCTTTTATTAGGCTACTGCTCAAGTACCATCTTATATGGCTCAATCTTGGCCAAAAATTTCCACATTAAACCCCCGCCCAAACCGTTCTCTTTCTCATACCCCAGGAAGCTGGCGGCCAGAGAGTTATGGTCTGTGCTGGAGTTTGGAGTCGATTTTCTTGGCCACTAATAAAACTTTTTAGCTGTCGTTTGGATATTGGTTTGGTTAAATCAGTCCAAATGATATCCATAAAGAAAGTCCAATTCATAATTTCCTGGTCGCTTTTAATTAGCCAATTGAGGAAAACAATATCTATGCATGGACAGCAGAAAGAGGCATCAAAGTTCCCAGTTTCCCATCAAAGTTCTATGTGACCGGATGTATTATCGATAAAGTATTACTGCGGGTATAAGTGATGTTTTTTTTTTTTGCAAAATATCACACGTGCCAGGAAATTATAGCTACAGTAAGCCAATGTCTAGCAGCGTGTCGAAAATGACGAAAGCTATTCAAAGAGGTGCAACAAAGAGAGGCGGAGCCAAATTATTTTCGAATAGATAGGAAAGAAACAAATTGCATATCTGAAGTTGCCTAGCACCATTGAAAACTCTATACTCTTATTGATTGCTTCCATACATCTCTCCCCCCCCTCCTCCCCTTTCATCTCATATTTTCTGGACTATACGAGTATTCAATCTCATAGAAGTCAACAATGTGTTACTATAGAATTCTTCAACGAGCAGTATGTATCAGGTTTGGATTTTGAAATCATAATTTAACTTTACGTCATCGACAATTTTTACTACCGTATCCGAACTCTGAAATTTACTACACTTGTTTATCAAAGAAATTTTGTTGCGTTTCAAGTAAGAAAATTTCAGTCGTCTAAATAGATACCCTCTGATTCAACTAGGTTGGCGGTGGAAGGCGGGGCTTCGTGACCTAGTTAAATCTGGGAATTGATCAGAGAGCACGGGCGCGCGAGAGATGCAGACTGCGTCGCGGACGCAAGCGAGCGGCCGTGATCAGGTCACAAAGCCGCGCCTTCCAGCCGCCAGTCCAGTTGATACACTAATGATTTTCAAATAACCTGATTTTTTAGGGAAAATGCTACTTCTGAATACTGTGCAATCACTTACAAAATTTTTTTACAAATTTTGCAAGTACTATGCTACTTTATCAATCGACAGGAATTCTACTGAGATATTCTTAAATTTCCAATTCATTTCTCAATTTTTTCATCCAAACATCCAATCTATACGCTTCAACTCAATTTTAGGTGCACCGAATCTTAGATTCCTACGAAACTGGAGAACCTTGCTTATTTTGCATGTAGTAATTTGACACGTATTTTAAGAAGTGCATCGCAAAATTCTGACAAAAGCGACTGGCAGGCGCGCTCAAGGAAGAAATTTCTCATTTTTATGTTGTCTTTGCTTGCTCAAGAGTGCTTTCAGCGCATGTCATGCTATTTTATTCTAATTTCAACTTGCTCATGGTGGTATTTGGTTTTAAAGCTTGGGCTCAATTAGGGCAAGAAATTATTTTCTTGATCTACATTAGTGATTTTCTAATTAAATTATTGAGGTCAACTTTTGTGCAATTTCAAAAAAAATTTCTGAGCCTATCGTAAGTTATAACCTCGATGTTTTTATTCAGAAAATTGAAGTGCTGCTTTACGTGGGTGCATAATGTACCCGTGAGTATTCAAGAAACTACAAGCTTTACCAATGATTGTAGAATTTTTCCAAGATGGGCGGAGCTAGAGCCGGAATTTCGTCACGAAAATTTGTGATGGGCTTTTTGACTGTTTCATTCGTTTTCGTTGTTTCTTTATTTGTTTTGTGACGGCTTTCTCTCGTTTGCGTGGAGCTAAATTAGGATGACGTCAATCTGATTCGAAAAATTTGGAAATGGGATAGGATGCAGGTCACTGTAATTTAACCTAATTGATTTGCAAAAATGTGGCATTGATGTTTTGCCGCCTTCAAAAATTTTACACTCGTCAGGATTTTTATAAAAATAGTTTACTAATTATTTTAGAGGCTTTTAATGTTTGAAAAAATCAAACGATTTTTTTGGGAATTGGTTCGAAACAAAGTATCCATTAGAAGCTTGTAAAAATGTAAAGTTTGTTCACGCCCCTTCTCTGGCAAGCTCCGCCTATCCGTTTGAATAAGGCAAAATTCTATTTTTAGAAGATTTAACTTGATAAACAAAGAACTATTTCTAGTTTTTTTGTCTGATTAAATGAACAAGCGATATATCGATCAAAACTAGCTGTGAACAATCGATATATCGATCAAAACTGTCACTCTAATTTTTCATTTATAAAAATCTTATTTCTTTGAACATGTGCAGAGATTTCACCAAAAATAGCAAAATCTCTGAATAGACGCAGCCACAGTAATTTTTATTGATGGCCCAACTAAGAGCCCAAGTGGGGGCTGAACATCCTGAATGGCTGATGTGTTAGTTGTCACGAAATCCACATTTGGACCGAATGTCTCCACAGAATTGATACGCGTTAACTGCATCATTGTCTGCGCGCTGTTTAGCTCTTCTAGTCTTTCAGAGCGATTCTTCAATGGTTGAAGCTGAGGAGACGAATGTGTGTTTGCTCGCGCATCCCACTCAATTCTTTGGTTTCACGCGCTCAATCCGGCTTTGGCAGAGTAATTCTTAAAAATTTTTATTTTAACTATTTTTTGTCATTTTGGCAAGCTCCGCCCATCATCGACAGTATCTCTTTCAAGTATGAGCAATGACATTGATTTCTGTAGAGTATAGTCTTTATTTGAAAATTTGTTCTATGTATTCCTTCATAAAGACCCCGAAAAAAGAGGCCAGATTTGAAATCAATCGATATATCGATTACCAGAATGCGCGCACGCGCGTGTGCGCTCTCCTAATCGATATATCGATTAAGCTCAGATTTCATCGCCTTCTTCTGTGCTTAGCCTGCCAATTCAAGATTCTTTTTCTTCCTTCCAGCTTTAACAATCCCAATCACCCAGAAGCTTGCAAAATAGAGTTTAAAGAGCTCTTTTCCTCTGCGTCTATGGCCTTACTCTGCTTCTCTATTCTTACAAAATTGTCGCAATTTGTGATAGTTTGCGCAGTATCGTACATCTCCAGATAAGTATAACCGGAGTTTTTTGAAAGAAAGATTTTCTTACCTTCAACAAGGATATTTGCTTTTCCAAATCCGTCCATTTCTGCAGGAAACATTTGCGTGAAATGGATCTTCCAATGGTGCTTAGATTTTTAATTCCGGGTTTGCTGTCACGCTAAGTAGTGTTTTTGGGAGTCTGCGTTTTATTTTGGCTTCATCGATTGTATTGATTGGGATGCTATTCATCTGATTCTTCTTCCCTATTTTCGGAAATCTGCTCGAATAGGCGGAGCGCGAGCCAAAAAATTAATGAAATTTGTGCAACTTTTTTGCTGCTAAGCTCTAAATTTTTCAATTTCGACTCTGAAATTTTTTGCTAATTTTATTACCTTTATTTCTAAGATTTTTGATGATATCATAATTTGTAAAGAAAATGCTATTTTGCTGCAACGAGCTTAGCTCTGCTGATGGTAATCTCGGCTGACATACGGCTCGATAAGAGCTTCTCTGCACGAATGCGAGAATCCCATGAGAGACGACGATTCTTTAACTTTCACACGCTCACACGCTACACCCAGGCCATGATTTTCGTTGACTAAACATGCTCTTGTTGTCCCATTTTTGGAATGTTCTGCTCGAGTTCTACTTCTTTGCAAAAATACATGCTTATTTTCCAAGAAGACTGACCGTTTCGAATTTTTAATTTTCTTGTAGTCATCACACTCGCACGATTGAATTTTTCTGTTTGTAAATATGTAGAATTCACTTTGTAAGGGTTGTAGTTAGTCGTACACTGATCTTTAAGCAATTTTTAGCGCTTTTGATTTTTGCAAACGATGATTTTCATAATACGGGCAATTTTCCTCTAGCAAACTT